GCGGGGGGGGAAGGAAGTCGGAGGAGTAGCGCGCTCGGGGGAACGTAGGAACGGGGGTAGGATAGTGGATCGGGGGGGGAAGTAGATTAGGTGGGGGGAAAGAAACGACGGGGGGGGAAAGAATCGGAGAAGAAGAAGAAGAAGAAGAAGAAGAAGAAGAAGAAGAAAAGAAAAAAAGAAAAAAAATTTCGTTGCTTACCTGGCAGTGACGACGACGGAGATCTAGGCAGCGACGAAGACCATGGCAACGGTGAAGGTCACGACAGCGGCAAGATCACGGCGGCGGCGGTAGTCACGGCGGCGACGAAGGTCTTCGGCAACGACGAACATCACGGCGGCGTCGAAGGTCACGGTGGCGATGGGGGAGCGAACTGCTCCGATACCAGTGTAACAGGCGTGAGGCTGAGGGAGACAAGGAGAGCCGAGGGAGAGGAGAGAGAGAGGGAGAGAGTGAGAGCACACACACACACTCACTCACTCAACACGAACGAGGGTCGGACGCAGACACAGTGGCAAGGACACAACGTCGAAGTCTTGGATTCCGAATGTCGAAACAAGAGCAAGTCACACTGAGTACGAGTACAACAGCTGAAAACTGGTACGAGACCGGGTCCCCGTACTAAGTACCGGGTGTCCGGTTCAGTACCGGGGGCAGATCTGCAAAAGCCCCGAGGGCAGAACTGAAAAGTGCGGTATTTGAAAGTGGCGCCCGAATTGCAGCATGGCGCCAGTTGTCCAAAATCCGATGGTACTAAAGGAGGGGTTTTGTAAAAAGGGTGCCAGGCCGAAAACGGGAAGCAGCAGAAACAGCGAAAAGATGGACCAGGGATCAGGCCCTGGCGGAGTCCGTAACATGGTCCACATTTGAAAACTCATCAATATGGATTACATTATCGGACGGCCATCAAATTGTTTCATCCCTTTTGGAAAAGAGATGGAAGAAGTGGACGAAGAAGATGATAAAGAAAGAAGAGGAAGAGGAAGACAGAAGGCAATCCAGCAAGAAAAGAGAAACAAGACTAGGAGAGGCAGGAACATGTAGTAGTAGTAGGAGGAGGCTGAAGAAGGAAGAAGAAAGGTAGGAAGAAGTAGACTGAAGAAAAAGGGAAAGAGAAGGAAGAAGAAGGAAGCAGGAGGAGGAGGAAGAAGAGGAGGAGGGAGGTAGAAGGAGAAGGAAGGAGGACGGAAAGGGGTGTAGTAGCCTCGAACATTTTACCCAATTCATGATATTCATCAGGCTTCGAACTCTAATGGATCAACGTGAAGGAGGAGGGAGGGAGGAAGAAGGAGAAGGAAAAAGTAAGAAGAAGAAGGAAGGAGGAAGAAGGAGCAGGAAGAAGATGGGACAAGAACGATGGAGAAGGCAGAGGAGGGAGGAAGGAGGAGGGGGAAAGACAAGGACGAGGAAGAAGACAAAGAGGAGGGAGGAAGAACGAGAAAGGAGGAGGAAGAAGTCGGAGGAAAAAGAAGAAGAGGAAGAAGGAAGAAGAGATCCAATTCATTATGTTCATCAGGCTTCGAACTCTTATGGATCAGCATGGAGGAGGAGACGACGACGAGGGCGTGCGGAGGAGGAGGAGGGAGGACGAAGGAAGAAGGAAGAAGAAGAAAGAAGGAAGAAGAAGGAAGAGGAAAAGGGAGGAAGAAGAAGAGGGAAGAACAAAGCACAAGAATGAAGGAGAACGAAGAAGCAGAGGGACAAGGAGGAGCAGGAAGAAGAAGAGGAGGGAGGAGGAAGGAGAACGAAGGAGAGGGAAGAAGAAGATGGAAGATCTGGGCAAGGCCTAGTAATCCGCCATAGCCTCAGCCTATGATTAGGAAGGGAGGAGGAGGCGGCCATGGCTATGGTGAACCTCAAGTGGTACCGGCAGTAGAAGAGGAACTCGGACATTGATTCTGGATCAGCCATTCAACGTTGTATTATTATTTCTTGTATGAATAAGAGA